GAGGAATAGATGTGTTCTGCTGCTTTTTCCTGGCCAGGAGAGGAAGAGAGGCCCTGAGGTCACTTTAGCAAGCGAGCATCTGCCGTCAGTCTGGTGTTAGATCATGCCACACTTGTGTACTTGGCTGTGTGAACAGGGAAAGGGACTAGCCAATTGCCTAACAATCTGACTACAAATTCAGCCAAGTATCTTGGGCACATTTGGGGAATAAAAGACAAGAGAAAAATCAGTTTCAAGTGGGAGGCTGAACAGATTATGCCTAATAACTTGAGACTATTAGAGAATCAGCAAAGAGAAAGAAAGGTGGGCTGTGAACCAGATAGCATAGAAACAGCTGCTTAGGGGGGAAATAATAATAATAATATCAATGATAATAATAATCTCTTACATTTGTTAGAGCTTTGTAGTTAATAAAGCACTTTTAATATTAGCTATTTAGGGCTTCCCAGGTGGCGCAGTGGTTGAGAGTCCGCCTGCCGATTCAGGGGACACGGGTTTGTGCCCCAGTTCGGGAAGATCTCACATGCTGCGGAGCGGCTGGGCCCGTGAGCCATGGCCGCTGAGCCTGTGCGTCCGGAGCCTGTGCTCCACAATGGGAGAGGCCACAACAGTGAGAGGCCCGCGTACCACAAAATAAATAAATAAATACAATATTAGCTATTTAATCTTTCAATGGTCTATGTAGAAGGCTAGGTCTTCAGGTCACCATTTTACTAATGAGGAGGTTGGAACTCATAGAGGTGAAATACTTGCCCAAGGTCGCTTGTCCCTGCTAGTCCTCCAGTCTTTTTGATTCATTTCTGTCCATTGTTTTTCCCATAAGCTGGTCAGAGAAACCTTGGGTTCAGCCCAGCGCCCTCTCTGGGGCACATCCATCCTCAGTGGCCTATGGCCGTCTCTCCGCTCGTCCCAGTACCCAGCAGACCGCACAAAGCTGGGACTTGATGCACAGTGGTGGAGGCTGGGTGATTAATTGAGGTGAGGGTAGGTGGAGCGAGAGGCTCCAGGTCTTGTGCTTGGCACAGACTTCAGGTTCGGCCTCTGCCAGTGTGTGCTACAAAGCTGAGCTGCCTGGCATCACCCTCAACTGAGTCTCCGTGGCAGGAGGTAGTCATGGAAACTCACTCCCTTTCTAAGCTGATGAGGAGAGAATTAGGTAGAAAGGAGGAATCAAATTAATTGCCTGTCATCCGCTCTCTGCTCTCTGTGTGTTGATTCAAATTAAGTTTTTTCAGTGTTCTGATGTCAGCAGATACCATACGATCAGAGCACAGGCCTGGGAGTCAGGATCTCCAGGAAACAGCTAGTTTTTAGCGAGTCCCTTAACCTGCCTCTCTGTTTAGTTCTGACCCAAGCATTCAGAAAAACAAATCTCTCTGCCTGACCTCCCTTGGTTTCTGACCTAAACTCCCTGAACTGCCTTATTTTAGTTATCTTTGACTCTACAGACACCCAACCAGCCATCCCTCCTCTTGTAGACAAAAGAGCAGAGAATTCAAATCGAATTCTGCGTTTGCTGAAATTGACTGCAGCTCAGAGAGAGGTAGTTAAGTTAGTCAGTGATAAATGTTCTGTGACGCATGTTGCCCACCTGGAGGAAGGTGGAGGCAAAATCTTGAGATTTTCTGTGAGAGGTGTCACCATAAGCTCAGCTGCCACCTGAGCAGAGCCAGAGGATTTCTCCAAAGATACGGCCCTTTCCTTTCCTGTGCTATCTGTAAGATCTTTTCTCTACAGCCAGTTGGAATTATTTGAGATTCCTTGCATGTTCCTTACTTGTTTGTTTCTTTAACTTCTCAGACGTTTTCTCTGCTGAGAACACTCTTCCTACTTTTTCATTATGTCTCAGCCCTGGCAACACGTCTGTGAAGCCTTCTCAAAGCAGAATATGGGATTTCCAGACACCATGAATTCCCTTTATTATAGATGACAAGCAGGCCATCACTGTACACAGGAATTCTACCTCCCCAGTGGTCTACAGGTTTCTGAAAGCAAGGACTATGTCTTCCTTGATCATGTTCCCAGCACCAAGCATCATGCCGAACACATAGAAGGTCATCAATCTATTTATTGAATAAGGGACTGATTTAATAAATGAGTGATGAATGGAATGTTTTCAGGATGGTGTCTTAGAAGAAGAAAATATTTACTAAGGTCTAGAGTTGAAGGTTGATTGTAATCTGTTTGGATTTCGATGCTGTTTGCATTTCACCCAAGTAGAATGGACTGCTGTGAGGTGTCTTTGGGCTCCAGACCTGGTTTGCCCCAAGAACTCTGCTCTGCTTTATTCAGGCCAACATCTCTCCAGAGTCACACTGGCTCTGAAAGTGGAGAGCTCTGAGGTCAAGCCTACTGATTCATGTTGGGAATGTAGAGTTGGAAGAGATAGAATGCAGAATCCCAGGATGAAGCGGCTGAAGTGAGTGCTTGGGAGATGTGTTTGGGATTCCTCTAGGAGGCTCTTCCTGGATCAGAAGAAAATCCCGGGAAGGAGATGTTGTCTCCTAACAGATACTATCTAGGGAAAAAAGTGCCTCTCAGTTTAACGATGGAGATGACAATATGATTTTATCCTTGTATCTGTATGGAGTTTATAGTTTTTATGGGCTTCTCAGGGAGTAGGGTAAAGTAGAAAGAGCACTGAACTAGGATTCAGAGGATTTGAATGCTTGTGTGTCATTATCCAACCATGGGACAGCAATTCCTGGCCTCGCTTTCCTTTTCTGTAAATGAAGGAGAGGGTAGAACCAAATACTCCCTCGGGTCTGTTCCATGATTCTATAAATATAGGTTATGCATATCCCATGTGACTGGTTCAGAGGTTGAATATGGCAGGACAGTGAGAGTAATGCCTTGTGCTGGGTTCTCAGGAGAGTCTAAGGCGGAGGTAGGTGGGGCAGGGTAAGGCTCTCCCAGGGATCTTGCTCCATCTTTTTCTCCCCACCCCTTTGCCACTCTGGTGGGAGGCAGTGCACCATAGTGGTTAATTGCATGAGCTTGGGAATCAGGCAGGCACGCCCTTGAATCCCGGCTCTGCCACTTACTGACTGTGTGACCTGAGGCAAATTTCTTAACCTCCCTCTGTCTCAGTTTCCTCACCTACAAAATGATGTTTATCTTCCGAAAGTCATCATAAGGGTTGATGACCTGATGTAAAGAAATGCAACAAAATATTTGCTATCACTTTTCCTCACAAATATATGAATACTGATGCTGTTTATATTTCTCTCTGTAAAACTCTGATTTTGACATGAAATTCTGTGGTCTTTCACCCCACTCTCTCACCCATTTGCTGTTTATTTTGATTGAAAAAACTTAGGAATCACGTACTTTGACTTCTTCTGATATTTAATTGTCTCGGTCCCTAGTTCTGCTTGTACCATAAACCTGTTGAGCTAGACGGCTCCAGGTACAAGAACTAGTGGGCAGACAGCATTGTTATCAACGATAACATTTAAAAATATTGGCATTAAAAGCATTCAGGAGTAACATAACTGACTCACTGGGGGGGGTGGTATATATTTCCTCCTTATACACTTAAGGGTTAGAGGAATAAGAAGGGACAAGGGACACCTCAGATTCCATATAAAACTCCTGTGTATTTTGAGGTTTTAACAGCACTGCAGCAGGTATCTGTCACGCCTATGCCCTAACAGGTCTTAACAGTAAATTCATTGAAGCTCAGGATGATAACTTTTCATAAATTATCTACAGATTGTATCTTGATTCTGTAATCAAGAAGAAATAGCTTCTGTAGGTGAAAAGGTAAATGGGAGGATATTCAAGTTTCTTATAAATGCACTTTTGAATGACATTTACACATTGTTTCTATTATACCTTTAATCTCAATTGTGAGAGGATGATGTTTAGCGTCTGCATTAGGACTTTACAAAGACTGTCCATATGATGGCTTTGGACAGCTAGTCTGTCTCAGTTCTTGTGTCCTCTGGCAGTTTAGGTGGGTCCCCACCACCCTTAGACAAGTAACCTGCCAAATACAAGAGCAGGCGGTGGGCTCCTTGAGCGCAGGAGCTGTCTTATTCAATGTCATATATCCAGAACCTGGGAGGTGAATGGCACCTTGTAGACACTTAATAGTTAATGGGTTTCAGGGTCTGAAAGTATTGGGTCTCTGTTAAGCAGGAGATGGAGACGCCTGGGTAGGAAAACCTCACGGAGTTATGAAAACACATCTAAAGCGTGCTCTGAACCATAAGATTCAACAGTGATACTGTAGTGAGCATTGCCGTTCCTTTGTCACTTAACATCCCCATCTTAAATTACTCTGGAACTGAGACTCTGAGAGTAAGGAAATGGCATCAAAGGGGCGTCTTAGCTAGAGCTAAAATACAGGGGGAGCAAGGTTTGAAAAGGAAGCCCAGGTCCCAGTGTGGGACCATGTTTCCCTCAGGGTGAGGAATTTCCCAAATCAAATGTAGCCAATCAGATTCTACAGAGAGGTGGAAGCATTGGCCTTGCTATTGTATTTCAGGATGCAATGAATGAAAGGAATGACCAAAGAGAGTGGGCCCACGAAAGTACAAGGTTAGCCTGACAGTTAATTAGAAGTTTGAAGGAAGCGAGACTGGCTGTCTGCAAGACGGTTTACTGGCTGAGATTTCAAGGACCCTTGGCAAGTTGAGAATGATGAGATCTGTTCATTTTTCCTTCGCTATAATGAATCATGCCTCTGATGAAAATTGTGTTTGTGTGTGGAGTCATGTTCTATCATCTTCTCGCCGAATTACTGCTTATCACTTGGGGGCCTCCGAACGACTTGAAGATTGCCAGAGTGAAGTCGGAGTTTAGCTGGGGAGGTAGAACTGTCTGTTCTGGAGGAAGCAGTTCGTTACACCTGCTACTCAGGGACATCTTGCCTTCGGGAATCTTCTTCCTGCCACATGCCAGCAGACATCGCACTGTGTGTTCTGGGCAGGCCCTGGCCAGTGGCCCGGTGGCCTGGCAGCTAAAGGTGGGCACAGGGAGTCTTCCCTCCTCCTTCAGCAAGACAGGATCTTGAGGAAGGCTTTTCGGAACTCGATGTTGAAGGTGGTATAGATCACAGGGTTCAGGGCGCTGTTCACGTAGCCCAGCCACGTGGTGGCACTGTAGAGCTCTGGGGACACGTGGCATGCTTGGCAGTGGGTATTGAGAATGTGGGTCAAGAAGAAGGGCAGCCAGCAGACAATGAAGGTCCCTAGGTTGAAAAGGAAGAGAAAAACTGGGTCAGGGATTTGTTTACTCCCTTTGTTGTAACATGGAAATGAGTCACAGTTGTCTACTTTACGGCAGCTACTACGCTGGAAGTTTCACATACCCTTTTAATTTTTACACCAACCCTATGAAGCAGGTGTGATTAGTCACTTTTTTTTTTTTTTAGGTGAGAAAACTAGATGCTAACATCTTTGATTCATCCCAAGCCTTTGCTCCTAAATCAGTTTTCTGGTTTGATCTTTAGATAGTCCTTCGCTAGTCTTTTCTACTTCTCAATTCAATTCAAATATTTATTTTATGTCTATCCATGCAAGACATGTTCCTAGGCACTGATAGGAAAAAAGACCTTAAAGATGCAATTCATATAGTTAAGGTTGTTGAGGGGATTAACATAGAGGTTCCCTGGACATGAGAAGTCCCTAAGACATGAGTAGTTTGGGGCTTGTCTATGACAGTGAACAGGATATGTTCACCGTCACTAACTCTGTATGGTACCACAACTTATCAATTTTTAATTTCTTTATTTAAATAAATTTATATTTTTCTACTATAAAAACCAGCCCTGATTTTATACAGTATGGAAAACTGGGTAAATATGCAAAAGTAGAAAGAAGTGAAATAATCACCCACCACACAAAGACAATCAATCACTTTTGACATCTGAGTGAATTAATTTTCAGTCTTTTTTTCTCTGTATTTAAAATAATCTAGATGTTATAATACCATATGACAGTAGTCTTTTGGCATCCTCACATTTTTCACTTAATATTTTAAAATAGGTAAGCAGGTAGGAAATATCCAGTATGTGCTAGATGCTTTTAATGAATCATTATCTTACTTATTATTTTATTTATCCATTATAATTCCAAGTGATAGACACGAAACACAGCTCAATTATGTGACTTGTTCGGTTTCATAAATTTCAGTCTAGGTGTTTTGAATTTCCACCAGAGTTAAGATTTATTCACAAACTCTTTTCATTTACATTATAAACATTTATAAATATTACAGTCGTTGGATTTCCAATTTCTGTTAAATATGGTTACCTTAGTATCCTCCACCAGCTCCATTGAACTCAACCTAACTCAACGTAATCCAACCCATCCCAACTTAACCTGACTCACCAAGCACCATGACCAGCATCTGGGTTGCCTTCTTCTCCCGCAGTGGCACTCCCCGAGGTTGCAGGGGGCCCAGCTTCAGGGATGTCGACAGCCTGCCATTACTGAGTTTTCGAACCTCTAAGCTGAGCTTAGGTGCCATGGTGGGGCTGAGGGAGTTCCGAGTCCTCCCCTCCCTTTTCAACTCTCCTTCCCCTTCTTGGAAGCCTGGTCTTCCCAAGACAGTATCTTGGCAGATGCTGTAGTAGCGCTTCAGCTCCATGTGTGTCTGAGCAGGGGAGAGGGGCTGTAGGTGTAACAAGAGAGGGTCCTGACATTTCTGGGGATATTGTTTATCTTCTGAATGTTCCTGAAAGGGAAACAGAATGCAATGAAGGAAGAAGGAGCCATCATTGTGTGAAACCTACAGAGGGTGCATCTGAGAGTGGTGGGCTCATGGGAAGTTAAGGTAAACAAAATCTGCTTCCGCCTTTACAACTCAAAAGCACCTACCACATAAAGAACATTTGAGAGTCACAATAATCCCTTGAGGAGGGCAGAATACAATTATAGCCTGGCCTTTTTAAGGTAGAATGACCTGGATACACAGAGGAAAATGTTAAATGGCACCATTGAGACGTAAGCAGAAAAATCTGGAAAGTGGGAAATGATAAGGCAAATGACTCAGTTTCTTCAACAGATAAATTGCAGTGACAACGCCACCACCACTTACCAGGTATGGGTCTTATTTGAATTTTGATTCAAATAAACCAACTATAAAAAATCTGTAAGACAGTTGGGGAAATTTTAACATTGACTGGATATTTAATGATAGTAGGGAATTATTATTAAATTTTTTAGTGGGATGTGGTATTGTGGTTACGTGTTTTATAAAAGAGCCCATATCCTTTAGAGAGTCTTAGAGAAATATGTTTGGCTGAAATGTTGTTATGTTTGAAATTTGCTTCATAACAATCCAGCGGGGGGGTGTGAATGTAGGTGGGAGTGTAGTTGAAAGAAGACGGGGCCATGAGTTGATAATTGCTGGAGCTGCCTGATGACTACTGAAGGCTTAGTTATATTTGTCTTTCTACTTTTTTAGTTTTGAAATTTTCAATAATAAAAAGTTTTAAAAACCCAGGATTTTCATCTCAGCTTCCTACTTAGTTGATGCATCCTGGTCAAGTTAATTAAATGTCTCTGAGCCTCATTTGTAAAACAGAAAATAAATGAAAAGAAACAGGTTTGGGATGAACAGACTCTGAGAGTAGGAAACTGAAGATATGTGAAAGTTTCTGGTATTTTGGGAGGACGTGTGTGTGCCAACGTCTGAGCTTCTTTCCATGTTTGAAAAATCAGATGCTGTGTCAATCTTGAGTAGAAGGCAGGACTCCCCAGCACCCTTAGCAAAGCCATAAAAGCCAGATATTCACTTTCCCCGACCTCCCCACTGGGCAGCTAGAACTCTGGTACCTGAACCAAGCCCAGCCAATTGGAGATTCGCACCTACAACCTTGAATTAGAGCTCATGAAGCAGGGAGACTTCAGAATTCATCTAGCAGTGGTGACAGTCAATGTTCAGTGTCCTAGGTATTTGAACCAGATTCTTCCTTAGGCATGAACAGTATCTTCTGAAGCTGTCCTTCAGCCTTCTCGTTGAGTCTGAGCTACTTGATATCCTTCCAGTAAATTCCTTTTTGACGTAAGTTAGTCAGTGTCAGCAACCAAGAACTTTCACTAGTCTCTCCTTAGTTCAAGGAATCATAGTTTTCTAGACACACAGGGCTGGTACACTGTACAAACTTAGAAACATTGTTGAATAAATGAATTAATGTAAGTGGGCTTCAAGATTATTTAGTGTCTTAAAAACTGTGCTCCACAGAGGTGTTTGTAGGAATTCTATCGTAACATAGTTTTTTTTTTAATTTGGTTTTCATTTTGATGGAATTTCCTAATAATTAATGTAAGTATACCATGTTTTATCTGAATGACCATTTGTAACCAAGATTATATTTTATGATTGAGCTGGCATCTAGTGATCTTCTAAAAGATGCATTATTTCTGAAACTAAAGGACTAGGGACAAATTTTTGAGAGTGCTTATGAAATCTCAGATTTGGGACTTCCCTGGTGACGCAGTACTTAAGAATCCACCTGCCAATGCAGGGGACATGGGTTTGATCCCTGGTCCGGGAAGATCCCATTTGCCGCGGAGCAACTAAGCCCGTGCGCCACAACTACTGAGCCTGCACTCTAGGACCTGCGTGCCGCAACTACTGAGCCTGCGTGCTGCAACGACTGAAGCCTGTGCGTCGAGAGCCCATGCTCCACAACAAGAGAAGCCACTGCAATGAGAAGCCCATGCACCACAGCGAAGAGTAGGCCCCGCTCGCTGCAGCTAGAGAAAGCCCACACAGCAACGAAGACCCAGCACAGCCAAAGGAAAAAAAAAATTTATGAAATCTCCTATTTGAGAACACTGATCTAGTACAGCTTGTCTCCATTTCACAGATTTGGAAATTCAGTCATGTAGAAGGAAAGTGATTCTTCCAAGATTCTATATTGATGAGTGTGCTTTTCAGCTCTCTCTGCAAACTTTTATCACCACCTCCATGACTGACATGAAGAAACATTGGATTGCATTGGATCTGCCTGGCAGAGCCCTCCACTCCCAGATGGCAGGACAGAACCTAATTCTCCACACTCCAGGCAATGCCAGCTTCTTGACTCTTCCATCTCTCCTCCATAGTCAACACTTTTCCTTCTTTTGGCCTTGGAGCCTTCTTGGACTTTAAATCTCTTATCTATTAAAAAAAATCATTTACAGCAAGAGTCTGTAACAGCTACATCCGGCCCATGTAAAAGTGGTTAATTAACTATACGGAGATTAGACAAGGCTTAGACATTCATCATTATGGGTTTTTGAAGCTTCATTCCTAATATTTACTTGGCTGTGGAGCTCAGGGAGAGGAATACTGGTCTTTTATCTAACACCTTCAGGCTCCATGCAGCACTTGGCTTTCTTGGGGCTGGTTTGAATTGGAAGGATAAGAATCAGGGTGACTATGAAATTGTCTCGGTTTTCCCCATATTTAATGGCAAATACGGCACTTGAAGGTTTCCCATTAGTCTCCCTTTTCGGCGTTTCTTGGATCTGCCCATGTCTGTTTCAGCGATGCCCTGTTTCCTCTAATGCAGGTTGTTCTGGATGGTATCTTCACAACACATCCAAGAGTCATTGGCTCTGGTCATTGGGATCTACCTCAACAGTCCTATGCTTTTGGAATATTATTTGATAATGCCTATTCTGAAGCTCAAATCAGGCAGTCTCAGATCTGTTATTTATTACAGATGCAAGTGTGAGCTTGGCGCTAAATTTGATTTTGGGGTGGAAGCGGAATTAAGTCAAGCCAATGACTTGAGAAAGGGTCTCTTATTCTTTTCCTACAGTCAAAGGCATGGCTTACTCACCATTTTCCCCATGGCATCTGATGGAAATCTGGCCCTTATTGAAAAACTGTCACATAGGATGCAACCGTAGCCAGGAAGACTAGGGTGGGTTGAAGGAAAAACAGTTGTGGGTTAAGCTCTACATAGTTGGGCCATATAGGTGACAATGCTTTGAATACAGTGTGTTCATATCCTCCATCTCGGGTCCTGACCTCCTATTTTGCAGGGGCCAATATTTTTGCTCTACGCAAGTCTTGGGACTTTGAGTTTGAGGTTCTGATTCTCATTCAAGTCATTATAGGTTGATCTAGACATCCAACGTGTACCGTCCTTCAACATCAAACTCAATTCTTACTCTATGAAGCCTTTCTGGAGCATACTGACCTTTATCTTCTCATAACCTCTCCAGCATTTAGTATTTAGATGCTTAGTTGTCTTCATCTCACATTTGGCAAACGTCCCAGTCAGTGTTGGGCTGCTCATTAATTTTCGGTGGAGGTGTGTTTTATCGGCTTGTCTAAGATTCTAAGCTACATGAAGGCAGAGGCTGTATAATATTCCTGCTGTCTCTTCCCTAGAAGATTGCAGGTGATTGGTATTCATCCATTCATGCTTCAAGTACACCTTGAAGCATGTGCCAGACACTGGAATGAGCAGAATTCACAGCCCAAGCAATCAGAAGATTTCAGTGACCTTCCTTTTCAGAGCCTTGAAAGACCTAGTAAAATGTGTCATCAGCATCTCCCATTCCCTCAGCTGGGTAGTGCCTCAACACAGAGGCAGATCTAGAAAGGACAAGAAGTTTCAGTGGACCCCCCAGTGATTCCTGATGTAATGATCTGGCCAAAAAGTCATTCCTGGAAACCCGGCATCAGCCAATGGTAAAGCTCACACTAACACTTCATACCTGTGTGACATCTGAACAGCTGGCCATTTAGGGGCAATGAAAGACTTTGAAGGGGAGCAGAAGAAGCCCAGAAGCTATCCTATCATCTTGCTAAGTCAAGTGCGCTCTAGGGAAGACTATCAGTGCACTTTTGAGATTCGATTTCCTACCTTTAAAGCCTAGCCAATATCTGCTGATTAAAAGGTGGGTATCAGATGTGGGTCCCCGATGTGGCAGAACAGGCAAAAGCATGCACTGCTGGACACAAGGCTGGAGGCCACGGGGCTGAGTGTTGTCTTCCTTTTGCCCCTCCAGGGTGCTTACCTGTTGGGGGAAGCCAGGCCTGACGCTGATGCACTGACTGTTCTGTCGAGTGAGGATCCGTTTCCGTCTCCTCTGTCTCAACACTACGTAGATCCTGGCATAGACGAGGACAGTCACTCCAAAGGGCAGGTAGAAGGACACCACTGAAGAGTAGAGGACAAAGTCAGGGTTGGAGATGGAGCAGATGCTGGGGTCTCCTGTGAGTGAGAGAAGGGGAGAGAGCAAAGTAGTTGGCCAAGTATGGGACCTCGGTGGGGAGCACAAAATATGACCTCACATCATGTGTGGTGTCTCCACCATCGAATCCACAGTGGAGCTTTGAGAAGCACTGGCCAGTCCCACCTACCCCCTCATCATGTCCTGGTCTATGTGCTGCCTCTTCCGTGGAGGCTTCCTTGCTTGATTTTCTCAGTCAGGAGCGACTCTTACTTCCTTTGTGCCCCACAGCCCTTTACTGTGCAGTTAGCACACATGGCCTGATTGTTAACTCGTGAGGGTGCCATCTCAGACACCTACGTCGTCCTCTCGCTGAGAGTAGGAGGTCTAATTCATTCCGATGTCACGCACAGTTCACTAAAAAGAAAATTTACCGATGATCACATGCCAGACACTGCTCTACAATGGGGCTGCAAAGATGAATAAGACACAGTGTCCTCCTTTGAAGGAGCTCCCAGTCTAGACAGACAGACGATCCCTTCCGTATGCTGCGCTAAGCGTCACAGAGGAACGCGGCCTGGGAGGCGGGGGTCGGGGGGTGTCACAGAGCGGCAGAGCAGAGGCTCCCAGGAGGGATGCGGCCCCCAGAAAAGGGCCTGCCTGTGTGGAGGCATCAGAGGATTGTTGCATGCAATGAAAGAAAGGAGGAAGGCTTCTTTGCTGAGAATGCCAGGTCCCCGGTTTTGAAGCTGAGTTGTCGGGCAGGTGGTGGCTGAATACAGGCAAGTCTATTTCTCGGCGAATCCCAGTACTGCTCAGGGTTGAGATGGGAAAAGGGCCAGTAAACCTACTGTCATCATGGGCAATGTGAATGGAGGCACATCCTTGTCCTTGCTTTATGTCCTGAAACGCTCCTGCCCTTCCTCCTTAGGGGGCCCTGCAGCTTTGTCTTCTTCACTAGCAGATCTTGAGACCCTCCAGTAGCCAAAGTGAGGCCTACAACTTGCCCCATCTTGAAAAAGAAAGTGGAAGGAAACTAATATCTTCCAGGTGATTCCAAGGGCTTTAGACACATTATCTTACCTAATAAATGTGCTACATGAGGTAGGCAGGTGCCATTACCGTCTCTATTCTCAGATGAGCAGACTGAGGCTCAGAGCTATTCAGTAAGTGGCCTAACAACACACAGTCTGGATGTGTTCCTCCAGTCATTTTGACCCCCAAACCAATGCTCTTTCTATGATTTTGACTCTCCACCTCCCTCTACCATTGGGGCACGACAAATCTGCACTTCGTCCTGTCAGCAACAGGTGTTGGCACACCCAGCCAATCTTAATAAAGGGATGGGCATTCTCCAACCCAAACTCTGGCCTCGGAAGATGCAGCCTCAGATGTGAACTGGTGGGGAGAGGGCCGTGGCCACATGGTCCCCTCGTTCTGCTTCTTGGTCTACGGAGGTAGGTAGAGGCCGGGCAGCCTGAAGTGGGAGAGCCAGGTCTCCATTTACTAACTGTGTGACCTTGGGCATGTTACTTAACCATGCCAAGCCTCAGTTTCGTGGTCTATAAAAGAAGGACAAAAATATTGTCTCATGTAGTGGTTGTGAGATGAAATGGTAACTATGATTACTATTTATTCTTTACTGCTATTTATTATATACTTCCTCCGAGCTTTTTGAACTTGAAAGGGAAGGTATCACTTGGAATGAAAATTTGGAGAGAGACTTATAGGGAACAATATTTGTGGGGGAGAGAAGGGAGCAACAGCTAAGAATTAAAACAAAATGAACAAGAAAGCATGTATTCAGTGCTCAGTCAGGCATTTTAATGACGGCACTGCCACCAGAATCTTTATGAGCTACTCCCAATTCTCTGATTCTCTTGGTAGGGGGGTAAAATTCAGGTAAAATTAATGTCATCTCACCAAAGCCTATATCATCGTCTTTTAGGAAATGGCTCATAAAACTCTGAACAGTGGTCAACAAAATGGCATCTTCTGGTCTTCTAGGGGAGTGGGGTTGGGAGTAAGGATAGGGAGGCAGCTGGTGGTCTTTCTGAATCTGTAAGGAGCCATGCTGGCAGTGATCACCCCTCCCCTGCCGTCAGCTCCCCTGCTGTCAGCGTCTGACTATGATTGAAATGCCTCCTCTAATGAGGAGGTACCTCAGCACGTTTTGTAGTGAGAGGGGGTCAGAGGGGTGGCAGGGTCACTTTCCCCCTATTCATCTTGTCACCATCCTTGGTGTGCTAGATAGTCCCCATGCGTCTCTGCAGATATACCATCTACCCTTCTCTATCCTCCTCTGGGCTTTGGGAGGCTGACCTCTATATTTTATATATTAACTACTACATTTAAAAAGCCAGGAGCCAGAGTGGGTATAGTGTGCTTCCGTTTGTGTAAACATGGACACACACACACACTCACATGTGTCCATGCACGGGCGTGTGTATGCACTTGCTTCAAGCGTGGCGTGCGGGATCTTAGTTCCCTGACCAGGGATTGAACCCATGCGCCCTGCAGTGGAAGCTCGGAGCCTTAACCACTGGATCTCCAGGGAAGTCCCGAGCATTATCTTTTAAGAATATGGGTGTTCACTTCTAGGGAGGGGACAGGGGGACTGGCAATCTAGGGTAGAAGGGAGACGTACAGGTAAGTCTGTATATATACCTCATTATACCTTATGTTTTATCATGTGCAAGTATTTATTTTTCCATTAAAAACACTGAAATATTGAAACGTTGAAATATTGAAAGGATATGTATGAGAAACAGAGTGAAGAGAGAGCACATAGCTATTTCGAAATCGCTGATCAATGATCTTCAGTGTACAGTCCCTGAACCTGCATTGTCATCCCTTCCTTCCTTCCCTACCTGAGAAACAGCTGCCTGTCCTTAGACAGAGTTTTGCAGCCTCTCCCAGAATTTCTCCATGTTATGCGCCCCGTGAGGCCTGACAGCAGGCAGAGTGATGCTGGAGGCGGTTGGGCAGTGAATGGGGCCCTGCCCCAGCCTCCGCCAGGCCTGGCCTGGGTGTGTGTCCTGTGGGCAGTGCAGAGTGAGACACCACACACGGCCAATTCTGAAAGCTTCTCTCTGCTGAGTCCTGAGGAGGTGGTGAGGGCAGTGGGGCCCCCAGGAGCTAGACTTCCCCAGGAGATGAGGTGCTTTGTCTTGATTATTTAACTGAAAGGGTAGTGTGCTGTCAGCATAACCGTTATTGAATGAATGAATACATGAATGATGAATAAATGAGCAAACTGTACAGATGAACATTTTCCATAAGCACATCAGCGGTCACTAGCTGGAGCATAATAGGGAAGGCCAGGAGGCTACCCCCCATCCTCCGCGACTGGGATGTTTATCCCAACTAATCTCAACAGCTAAGGAGGAAAGAATGATGATGAGGACTCATCCACTGACTCATTCAACACAAGTTTACAGAGCACCCGCTGTATTCAAGGCGCTGTGCTCGGTGATACACTAAATGTCTTTCGTGGGCTAGCCTGGGAACTTGAGTCCCACAGTCATGTGAATGGCAAAGTCAAAAGCAAGTTGAGTTGAGAGATTCATGAACTTCTAGCTCATTGAAGGATTTGTCCTCAATTTGTTTCCAAAGACAGGAGATCTTAATGAATTTGATCGAGGATGAGCCTAGTATTCTCTTTGTGCTTCTCAACCAAGTCCCCCTACCCCCAGATGCAGGGTTCTGAAAGCCAGGTGAGGCGTTCTATTGCTAAAATCTAAATAGCCCTCCTCCATTTCTTTGTTTCAGAGGAATATTAAGTCAGTTGGTAGGACTTTCGCAACTTTAAGTTCTTCTGCCCTTGAAAGTTTCTTAAACCCTGGTCACCAGCTATTGCTTATCCATTCTGGAATTTTTAATAACCCAATAGCTATCTGATTTAACAGAAATTTAAATACTAGTTATTTTTCTTATCTGTAAAATAAAAGGGTCAGGGATCTTTCAGGTTTCCTCTAGTACTAACACTCCATCCTCTGCTGCTATCAGGGGCTGTTGGTGATGTGATATTTGGCTCCTGACTGCTGGGTCTCTGCTGGGACCTGGGGCAACACGGGTCAGCCAGGCCCCACAGTCCTGGAACTCTCTGTGACCCAAGATCCTGCTTTATGTGTGCATCCAGACATGCATGTCACTCTTTTTCGGGCAATAAGAGCAATTCCAAGATAGAAGAACCTGAAGTTCAACTTTCCTCTACGTTACATTCTCTGACAATTCAGAGTCCCACGTGGCAGCCCATTTCCTTAAAAGAAGAGCCCTGCCAGAAAGTTCTGTTTTGTGTTGCACCTCATGAAAGTCCGGCCACTGCCAATATCAGGTGTTGTTGGCAGTATCCTGCCCTTTTCTCCTTCTCACAGGAGGAGCAGAAAAAAATGGCCAAGAGAAGTCATTTATATTGGGCTTTTGAATGAACTTGGGAAATTCCTTAGAGCTGTAAGAGGTGCTGGAGGAACCCACATCTATCAAGATAATGAAGCTTTGCTGTGAAGGTCAGACTGAGGCAGAGAAGGCCAGTGGGGCTTCTCTGCCTTGAGTCCTGCTTACGAATTCCCTGAGAGCAGAGCAAGGACTACCACTGTTTAGATATCCCTTGGAGCAGGGGCATAGTTAAATTTTGAGGCACAGGAACTTTTCTAATACATAATAATAATAACAACAATAACACTAGCTAGTATCTACTGGGCTTTTACAATGGACCTGTCACTTGAGCACAATACATGAATACATGGAGAGCCTACTGTAGCCTAATTAATAAATTTATAAGTAAGAGACAGAGAGAGAGAGAGATGAGAAAGAAGTGAGTCTATACGTGGTAAGTCATGAGCCTTTTTTGCCTTCTCAATTCTATATTTGAAAATCCTTTTGGAAAGATTTTTCTGAGTTTTGTTTCTGAAACAATAATGATCTCACTGGTGGCAACAACACTGCATTAGGTCCTCATTCTTCTTCACTTTATATGTTGACTTTAACTGGGAACTCTGTCTAATGTCAGATTTTGACTAAGTGTTACCAGGTGTGTGTGTGTGTGTGTGTGTGTGTGTGTGTGTGTGTGTGTGCCCGCGCGTGCACATGAGAAAGACCGCCCCTGCCAGCCTCTAAGAATGAGGAAGAGGAATCACTCGGCCCAGCAAAAGTTGGTGGGGCTTTGCTGCTGGCCGGGTTAAGGACTGCCTTGGTCTAGCAGTGGTAGGTAGTGGCCCATACTACAAATTCCAACTTAGAAGGCATTTTCTCATAGAAACATGGATATAGAAGGTGGCTTAGTTATCGGACTAACCCCCAAAGCACACTTAGACTCATTGAAATGGTATTTGAGCGCCAGAGTCAGCTTCTACAGTCGTGTTAGAGAATGTCGCCTTGGTGCATGTGCGTGCACACGCATGTTTGTGTTTATAACGTGACATTGGTGACTGATAATGGGAAGCATTAAAGAGTAACGCAAAGACAATAACAACATATTTTAGGAACACCCTGAGTTAACCAGGCACATCTTTGTTGGATAAGTTGGCTACTTAACCTCTAATGCAGCAGAGAAACAAGTCTAACCTTGAGCAGGTGATATGTGTTTGGCACATCTATGTATGTTATCCCAATTTAATCCACACTTACTTGTAAAAGAACTCTGTGAAGGAGGTAGAGTGGAGTTATAACATATGTAGGCTTAGATTCTAGAGTCAATGAAAATTATAGGGAGTCAAAATTCACCCTGAATCACATATAAAGATACGCATGGTTTGATTACAACCCTGAACAGTAATAAGTAAAGACATATGACACATGCAGTAATATGTCATCTATTATAAAGAGTTCAACCTAACATACAATTTTAGAGATGAAGTTGCTGGACTTACTTGTAGGAGGCCATATATAAAAATAAATATTGAAAACTTCCTAACTAAATACATAGACCTAGTCCACATACTTGATTTTGTTCAAGTTTATCCTGTGCTATATTGTTATCCCAAATTTATCAACAAGGAAGCTTAACTTAGAAAAGTTAAGTAGCTTGTTCAAGCAGACACAGCTGTTAAGCAGCCGAACTGGAGTTTGAACCTAGATTTTTCTGACTCCAGAGCCTCTGTCTTCCTAAATGTATTTTGACTTCTAAATAATTGACCAGCAAATGACTCTTTGAAGACTATATATAAGTTAAGATTTGCCTGTATTTATATGTAATGTGTTACATATAATATATCTGTATACACATAAGTACACAGCTACGTGACTTGTACATATATACCAGCAATTCATGAACCCGGAACATAGTAGGAGTTGAATGAATCAATTCAAATGGAGAAAATAAGAAATCCAGATGAACACTAGAACATGAGTCAATCAGTTCTCTCTTAGTGAACACTCTGTTTATTTTCAATACCTGTAACTATACTATATGTGCTAATAGTTTCCACTCAACACATGAAATTCTTGAGGCTGAAAGATGGTCATGGAACAGACACTGAAGGCACTGTGAGGTGTCAGTTTGGATTGGTGTCATATCTAAAATCCCAGACAACTCAGATATACACATTGTTCATCCATTTGTCCGTCCACCCATCCATCCATCCATCCATCCATCCAATAGAAGATGTACCATGTGCCAAGCACCATGGCCAAAATTTTTGTATATTAAAAAATATAAAATACATCCTCCAGTAATTTAGGAATTCATCCTAGTTCCCAAACACCAGAAATGATTTTTATTGAATAAAAAGAACTGTATACCCTACTCCAGGGCTTTCATGATATGTTATTTTGCATTGTAAATCCATTACGAATTACCATCTTTTCGTTAGTAAACTTCACCTGAATTATTCATATAGCATAGTTTTTTAACTGGCACATTTCTTCAAATGAATACAATGGCTTTTCTTTCAAAATAGGAGTAAGCAGACTTTTCATTAATTGGGGCAGAACATTATTCCTGTGCCATTAATTGAAGAGGTTTTGTTTTCTATTTTATTTGTAATCAGTAAAGGCCAACGCTTTGCAGTCTAGCATCCTCGTTTGATTACATTGACCAGGGGTCAGAGCGCCACTCACAACCATTCAGATGTGCTGTGAATCACGCCGCTATTGGAAGTGGGGCCTTCATTGTTACCTGTGGTGTTGAAGCCAAAGAGGAGAGGGCAAGACACAGCAAAGGCCAGCACCCAGACAGCCGTGATCATGAGGGTCACGCGCCGACAGGAGCTCTGTCCTGTGCCATGTTGGTAGTGAACTGGCATGACCACTGCAGTGTACCTGTGAAAGGGAGGGGAGAGAGGATAGACATGATGAGAAAGGTTCTAAAGACAAGTTGAAAGAGGTTACTAGAGAAATACTCAGGTTGATACTTGTGGCAGGAGAAAAATAATTTGGTTGGAGAAACTTAGAGAGAAAGGGGTATTTGAGCGAACATAGCAGAAAGGCTGAGACAAGATAGATGAAGTACTCATTGAGAGAGGTGAGCAGAGAAAGGGAGAAAGAATAAAAAGCATAGCATAGCAACACTGGGTTGCCGGAGAGCTTCTTACCAGTGCTGGTTGACGGCCCAGCATATCCCAGCCTTATATTCACACACCCTTAACCTTGAAGACTCTAGATGCTGGTTTGTGTGCCTTTACGCCCACAGTTTTTCAGATCATGATGGAACTGTGCCCAAAGAGGATGTTTAGCCCTGCCTGTATCCTAACATTAATTCTAACCCTCGTAGTGACAACTATTCCAAGTAGCAGAGACTTTGTAAATAGAGATGAGTAATATCCAATGAAGGCTTATTTTAAAATCAAGTTTTCATGCTGTCTTAATCTGCTTGGGCTGCTATATCAAAAATACCATACACTGGGTGACTTAAACAATAAATATTTATATTTCACAGTTCAGGAGGCTGGGAAGTCCAGCATCAATATGCTGGCAGATTTGGTGCCTGGTGAAAACCCACTTCTTGGCTTGTAGACGGCAGTCTTCTTGTTGTGTTCTCACACGGTGGGAGGGCTGAGGGGAGCTCTCTGGAGTCTCTTTTATAAGGGCACTAATCCCATGCATGAGGGTGGAGCCCTAATCACCACCCAAAGGTCCCACCTCCTATACCATCACATTGGCAGTTAGGATTTTAACATATGAATTTTGGGGGGGGGGGCACAAACATTCGCTCTACAGCACATGCTTTTACATGGTCAAAGCACAGTTTCTTATTCTTGTTGGATATTGTTGTCTTTTCTGTGGTATATCCACACATACATTTACAGCTGCTTATTGGACTTACCTGCACGATTGCTCCATGGTTGTCCCAAACTCAAATTATCTGAAATATATCTTCCTATTTCCCTACATCTCTTAATCTGCTTCCACTTCCTGCCTTTCTTCCAGACATCCACACCCAACGCTCAGGCTTTTTGACTCTTCTTTGGCCCTTCCATATCATTTGCTCACCCATTCATTTAGCCTTTCATTCATTCAATATTTATTGAGTTCTCACTATATACCAGGTCTTATTCTGGAAATACAGAGATGTGCAAATGGGACATTGTCTCTGTCCTTACTGAGCTGGGAGTTGAGTGGAGTAGATAGATGAAAAAAATGCTAATATAAAATGAGTATCACGAAGGAAGTAAGCTGGGTGATGTGTTTAAGGATAGTGGAGGGTGTAAAGAAGGGGCAAATGACATAAGTGGGTAGGAAAATGAGTGGGGTGAGAGGGAGCCAGTCATGAGGGAAGGTAGGAGAAGAACATTTTAGGCAGAAGGACAGCAGGTCCTGTAAATTTACCCATTATGGTATCTCCCCCATTATCCATGCATTTCTTTTCTACCACTTTTTCTCTGTGATGGCCACAGCCTCCTGGCTGGTCTCCTATGGCTAAGTCCCCAACTAGATTTCATCATGTCCACCCCACCCCATGTTCCCCCCGACTCAGATGAAAACTGTCTGAAATAGGCATAATTCTAAGATGGCCCCCAAGATTTATGCACTGTAGAACTAGTAGAAATCCTGTGATTAGATTACAAATCAACAGACTGAGTAAATCAAAAAGGAGATTATATTGGGTGAGCCTGATAATTATCAAGGTGAGCCCTTGAAAGGGACTGAGCCCTTCCTTAATTCAGAGAGATTCAAAGCATGAGAAATTATCTTCCTGGCCTGCAAGGGGCAAACTGCCATATTTGGGAAAAGATCATTTGGCAAGGAACAGCAAAAGGCCTATGTGAGCTGAGAACAGCCCCTGGTTGACAACCACCAAGAAAGTGGGAACCTCAATCTTATAACTGCAAGGAACTGAATTCTACTGACTACCTGAATAAGTTTGGAAGATGAAAACACAAGTCAGCCTACACCTCATTTTCAGCTTTGTGAGACCTTTAGCAGAGAACCTACCTACATGGTGCACAGACTGTTTGACCTGTGAGATTAAAAATGGATATAAAGTCACTACATTTGTGATAATTTGTTACACAGCAACAGAAAACAAATACAACGTCAATACTTAGCCTTCCTCAACATGACCCCAACTTGCCCAGCCAACCTGACCTTCCGTTGGACCCTGACACTTAACATATAACTGCAGCCATACTGGCCTAGTGACGGGTTATCTTCAACAGTCTTTGTTCAATCCATTATCCCTTTTCCTTCCCTGGGTAGCTCATTTTTTATCTCCTTTAATCCCAGATCAGCTCTCCAGTAACCTTCCCAGTCCTTCTATCCTACAGAGACCTCTAACTCTGAATGCATAGCACTCCTATGCCAATCAATCACGTTGCCCTTCTGCCTGCATTATTGGACTTGCCTCATGGCTGGAGAGAGAAAGACCCCATAGGATTTAAGTTACTTAATGGCTCAAATCATCTTATAGCCTTGGTATTCCATATAGGTCCTTGTACAAAGCAAGTAGTAAGAAGCTGTTGACTGCCTCATGGACTCTGAAGGCCTCCTTCCTCATAAGAGGACAATTCTAATCCTAGCCCAGCTCAAGGGATCTAATATATATAGCTGGGTCTACATATGCTCAATTTGTATTTATTTATTTATTTATTATTGAAGTATAGTTGATTTACAATGTGTTAGTTTCAGGTATACAGCAAAGTGAATCAGTTATATATACATTCTTTTTCAGATTCTTTTCCCATATAGGTTATTACAAAATATTGAGTATAGTTCCTGTGCTATACAGTAGGTCCTTGCTTTATCTATTTTATATATAGTAGTATGTATATGTTACTCCCAAATTCCTAATTTATCTGTCCTGTCCACCTTTCCCCTTTGGTAAGCATAAGTATTTTTCTATGTTTGTGAGTCTGTTTCTGTTTTGTAAGTAAGTTCATCTGTATCATTTTTTTTAGATTCCACATATAAGTGATATATGATATTTGTCTCTCTCTGTCTAACTTCACTTAGTATGATAATCTCTAGGTCCATCCATGTTGCTGCAAATGGCATTATTTCATTCTTTTTTTTATGACTGAGTATTATTCCATTGTGTATATATACCACATCTTCTTTATTCATTCATCTGTTGATGGACATTTAGGTTGCTTCCATATCTTGGCAATTGTAAATAGTACATATGCTCAATTTTTCATTGTCTCGTCAGTGTCCAGGGAACCTGGAGGCCAGATGCAGAGCAGGAACCCCCTTAGCTCCTCTTGTGCACCTCAAGGCTTGGGGCTGAGGAAGGGAAGGACAGACCCTGGGCTGGAGGGGGTGGGGTAGTGCTCCCTGATGCTCCTCCTATATGTGCCAGCCACCTGACTCATCTGCCTTATATGCATCTGGCCTTAGAGTTCACGTGTTAACATTTGTATCCCCAAAGAGCAGCCTGAGAGTCAGCTCTGAGGGCTCACATGGAGGCAGACTCTGCAGAACTTGGCCTTGGCACCCTAACATGTGACAGAGGTGGCTTCTTTGTCAAGAGGGAGAAATAGAGTCCTTATTTAATAAGGTCAAATTACGATCCCACCATCAGCCTCAAGGAAGGCCCATGACAACCCAGTTCCCTTCTCCTGATGCACATACACTATAGATCCTCCCTTGAATCCCTAACTTGGCGATAAAGGAGCAGGGCAAGCAGCACCTGGCACTCCTCCAGGCCTCTCACTCTCTCAGGACTTCCGACTCTGCTGGGGCAGTGAGCTGGGGCTTCACGTCAAATATGTCAACCAGGGTCTGGCCCTTAGCTGTGATCCCTGAGGCACCGTAGAGGAGAGGCTGAGCCTGAAGCCCCACAACTGTCCTGGCCAAAGAGCTGATGAGGGTCAGGAAGGAAAGGTATGGCACACTTCTTCCTGTCCAGACCTGTTGGCCTTCATTTACATAATGACCTTGGATGTAAAAGAACCTGACCATTCCATAATTTGGTAGTGTGCTGCTAAATGCCTAACAACTGGCTCTGCAGGTGAAAAAAAGCCCTAATTTATACCATTTGTCAATTTCTGTGGTACAAATACTCCCACCATTGTCCACTTCAAGTTACACCAATGGTTTAATAACCGGCTCAAAAAACTAAAATTTTGCCAATCAGTTCCCACTAGCCATTACAAGCTGACTCCAAGCCCACCACTGAATGTTGCACACTTTCCTAGATCCGCTTTAATATTCAGCAACTTCTTGGAGACTCCCATTAATTCAATGAGTCAGTAAGTGTAGGGAGCATTGGCTCCATTTTATAAAGGAGGAATCAAGGACATAGAGAGGTTACATGATGAAATCAAGTTCCCACAGCTGGTGGTACCAGTCTCCGAGGCCAGGTCTCTCCTGGGTGCCCTGCTCCCTGCCAAGGGCACTGCAAGTCTCTGAGGCCTTACGGGGGACAAGGGCTTCCTCAGGAAACGTGGCACTGAAAGGTGGTTTGTACTTTGAGAGCATCGCGGCTACCCAGAACTGAGTTTCCCCATCAATTAGCTTGATTGTATTAATTTCCGGGGGTCCTGTTAAAACACATATTCCAAGGCCACACCCTTGGATACTTGTTCCACTCCAGAAGTTTGTATTTTTAACAAGCAAGTGCATCTTACAAGATTAGACAAGTTGGAGAAAGTCTGCATTAGGGAAAATTTCTGTGTCAAAACTCTTGTTAACTTGGGTAAGAAGTGAGAGATGAGACTACGTTTACCACTGTTACATTTATATATTTTTTCTTCTTAGTTTTAAAACATGATTAAACTTTTAGAATAAATGAGACCCCCCCCCCCCCGCCGCGCCAAATTTGTTTCTAGGGTGAAAAACGCCAGGAAGCTTGCCATCGGGGCTGAAACACAGAGGCTGTTCCG